GGGAGCTATGAGAGAGCTCTCCGTGCCTCCTGGAGCTGCTCACCGTGTTCAGGTCTGGTGTAGCCCCAGCCGGAGATCCAGCATCGGGTGCCGTGGGGGAAATACTGCTGGTACAGCGGTAAACACACTGCACGGACCGCATCTGGGGAAAAAGACACGCGTTAGAGCAGCACCAGCTGGGGACACCCCTCTCAGTGCACAGCGCAAACAAATCGAGAGCGGCTCCCAGGAGCAGCCAGCCTGGAGCCAGCAGGGGCGATCTAGTCCTGAGAAGTTCAAGCGAAACACCCTTGCAGCTTCGCTCCCTCTGGCTCCAGGGGCCGGATTCTCCAAAGAGCTCGGCTCCCACTGTGACCTTTACAGCCAGACCCCAGCTCTTTACAAAATCTGCCCACTTATTTCACTGCATCCATGGGAGACAAGGTCTTGTGAGCATTCTGTCCCAGCAGCAGAGGCCCTGGGACTTGCCTGGGGAATGTTTTCTCTGTGCTGCCCCCTCCCTCCACAGCTGGACCAACCCCCATACTGGCACTGCCCCTGGGATCGACACAGGCCACCGGCGTGGGAATCAGACCGTTGGTGGGTGGTTCCCTTGCGAATGGAAGCCATGGGGCTGCTCTGGAGGGATCCTCTGTCCCCTGCAAGGGGGAGATGGCTGAAGAGAAGGATCTCACCAGAGAAGTTCAAGGGCGCTGTGAGTTTCATCAGTGCGATGTCATAGTCATGACTCCTGTCATCATAGCGGGGGTGGTAGATGATTTTCTCCACCGCCGCTCCGGCCTGCTGTGGGACTGACACCTGGGCGATAATCCCGGCAAAGACCAGCCAGCTGGAGACCTCAGGCCACCTGTAACTGAGCAGAGACATGGCCAACCTGTTCCTCTGGGGCTGCAGTATTGCTGGGGCTGCCAATTCCCCACTCCCTCCCCTGCTGGGGGAAGAGCTGGGCTCTGCACTAGACCCCTCGCCAAGGCCTCTGGCTCTGCCGTTCCCAGACTCACTTGTGCACGCAGTGAGCAGCCGTGAGGATCCAGTCGTGCGCCACCACGGAGCCTCCGCAGACGTGTCTGGAGTTGAGGTACAGGCTGACCTGCCACGGCCAGCGTCCCAACGGGGCGTCGCTTCCGCCCACGATCCGGGCTGCCCTGGAGCGCACGCCGCACTCTGCAAAGGGGGAGACACGTGAACCCAGTGCCCCCAAACACCACCTTAGAGTGGGGGAGGGATGGGCAGCAAAGGGTGTCTGAGAAACCCGGCCCTCTCCAGGAGCTGAGCAGAGCTTTGCCTTGGGGCCCAAGGGAGAGAGAGAAGGTCTTTGAGCACCAAGCCTGCGGGAGCAGGAGAACAAAGAGGCAGGAATGGGAGCAAAGAAAGGGAAAGCAGGCAGCAGAGGGAAGCAGATGACAGGAGTCATTCCCCAGGCGTGCTCCTGCCTCCGGGCTGAGAGCCCCTGCTCGGCTCACCCCCCACAGGATGTCAGGGATTCAGGGTAG